ACCACCCCTGTTGTCCAGTTTGCCCTGAGGATGCAGTCTGGGTGGGATGAGAGCCCAAGAAAGTCAGGCCATGGATGGTTTCAGCTCTGAGGTGGGCCCTGCCTTGCCTGACAGCCCCAGTCAGGGAGCTTTCACCCAGCTGGGAGGCTGTGGCATGCAGTCAGGCAGGGCACAATGAGCTCACTCTGCTTTTTTTGAGGTGTTTGTACAGGTGGGTCATCCTTTCCTTCTTACTCTTTGTGTGGGTGCTTCCCTGTCACTCCATGCTCTTGGACTGCACTACTGCATCTCCCAAGCTTTGATGTGTTTGAGCCAGCACGATTCATGAATCATTGCCAAAATTGCTTTACCAGAACGTCCTCTCATTATGAATATGGATTTTACTAACCCAGAAGAGATTGTTCCAGTTCCCTGGCTCAAGCAGCCTGTACTGGCAAAGGCCCTTTTGAGGCATTGAGTGGAATTGGGTTGCTGTGGAGCTTTTGCCAAGGCATGGTTCACCTGGAGCCTGTTCTCACTGCAGGTCCTCACAGCAGCAGTGGGTTCAGAGAAGAGGGTCCTGCCCTGGGGGCAGGCAGGGGGCACACTGAGGGTCTTGCCCAAGAGCCTGTGTCAGGGTGGAGAATTGGATTCAAGCTGTTGAGCTCCCAGTTTCTTGGATTAATCTTAGAATTAAAGAATGCCTTGGGCTGGAAGGGACCTTTAAAGGTCACCTCGTCCAACCCCCTGCAGTGAGCAGGGACATCTTTAACTAGATCAGGTTGCTCAAAGCCCCATCAAGCCTGACCTTGAGTGAATGATCTTCAGCCTGTTCCCCCCCTATCCTGTGCAGGCTGTTGCACTGAATTTGTCCTTGGTTTTTTCTCCCATTTTATTTTAGAGCTTTATTTCTCCTGGTCACTTCCATTGCAGCGTGTGGGGGCACAGTAGGAACCTGTTGTTGATTTCTGATAAATTACATAAAAAATACTTGTTGTGTGACTAAATTTCACAGCCTGTGTCCCATGATTGCTTCCATAAATTAAACTTGCTGATTAACTGCTGTCTGCTGGACCAGCCCAAGACTTCATTATGGAAGTGCTTTTTAAAATAGGATATAAATGTGTGTGTTGATTAGTGTGGCTGCTTCTTGTCTGGCTTCAGGAGTGTTTTGTGTCACTCCTGAGGGTCTGTTGTAAAGAAGACTGAAGACCAGGGACCCTGGTCATGTCAGTGAATTCAGGATGAGGCCCCCCACATTCAGCCCAGTGCTGTGGAGAGGATCAGCACCTCTGGGCTTTGTGGGAGCAGTGGGCTCAGAGCCTGAAGTCACCCTTGGCCTGCAAGGCAGATAGGGGCTTGACCAGAGGAGGCAACAAAGATGATCTGAGGGCTTGGAACCCTTGTAAGCCATGAGGCCAGGCTGAGAGAGTTGGGCTTGTTCAGCCTGGAGAAGAGAGGGCTCTGGGGAGACCTTCTTGTGGCCTTTCAGGACTGAAAGGGGCCTGTCAGAAAGCTGGGGATGGACTTTTGAGCAGGGCCTGTTGTGGCAGGACAAGGGTTGATGGGTGTAAACTAAAAGAAGGAGATTTAGATTAGAGAGAAATAAGATATTTTTGACACTGAGGGTGGTGAGCCCCTGGCCCAGGCTGCCCAGAGAGGTGGTAGAGGACACATCCCTGGAACCATTCTAAGTCAGGTTGGACAGGGCTCTGAGCACCCTGCTCTAGTTGGAGATGTCCCTGCTCCCAGGACTAGGTGACCTTGAAAGGTCCCTTCCAAGCCAAACCAGGCTGTGATTCTGGGGTGGTGGCTGCCCTATCCACTGCCTGGGATCTCTGGAGGAGACACTTCACCAGCACTCCTGCCCTCCCTCGCTTTCCCTCAAGACCAGTGTGGCTCCCTAAAGCCTGGCCCTGTCCTTGCAGGCCACGGGAGGTGGCAGCCACACATGGCTTGCAGGAAGAGGCCCTGGGGAGAGCTGTCTGTCCCCAGATAGCTCTCTGGTGAGTCACAGGGTGTGCAGGCAGCTGGTGCCCCTGCTCTGCTGCTGGCTGGAGGGGAGAGCCTGGCTCACTCCCTGAGTGGTGACCCTGCATGAGTCACAGACACAGCCTCTCATCCCAACAGGCCTGTGTGCCACGCTCCTGGGGCAGGAGCTGCAGTCTGCAGGGGCATTTCAGGTTGTCTGTGACATGAGGAAGAATTTCTCTCCTGGCAGAGTGGTGAGGCATTGGCCCAGGCTGCCCAGGGAGGTGCTGGAGTCCCCAGCCCTGGAGGGGTTCAGCAATCATGTAGATGTGGCACTTGGGGACATGGTTGAGTGGTCCTGGTAGTGTTGGGTGATGGTTGGACCTGATGTTCTCAGAGGTCTTTTCCAACCTTAATGATTCTGTGATCCATCCCTCCTCACTGCCCCAGGCCTCTTTCTGCTGCAACAGGGTAATTAATGTGAGCTTGCTGGAGGTTCTGATCTCTCTCTTTCTGCTGCAACAGGGTAATTAATGTGAGCGTTGCTGGAGGTTCTGATCTCTTGTGGAGATAACTCTGAAGAGTTATTCTCCTTGAGAGATGCCACCATCTCAGAGCCACTCCCTCAGCCAGTGGAACAGCCTTCTGCTGCCAGCTGTTGTTGCCAGACATTATTCCAGAGAAAAAGGTTTGCTTGTGAAGTGGTGGCAGGGACAGACCTGGCTGGGGCTGGGGCCACGTTCCCACCCTGGCCTTCCATGTGAGCTTCAGCTCTTAGCTTCTGAGAAGGGCTGGTGGGGGTTTACAAGTGGGCTGGAGTGAAGCAAGAGGAAACAGTTCCCTGCAAATAAATGCCCATTATGCTGCAGAACAGGCCCCTGCTGTCCCCAGCCCTGCTTCTTCTGGCTCCAAAGCCAGCTGTTAGCAGCACAGCAGCAGAGCTAACACTGAGTGAGCCAGCCTGGCTGGCTCTGCCTGCTGCTGGGTGCCCTGCCTCGGGGTGCTGAGGTCTGGGCTTGCTGAGGGAGGTGAGCATCGGGGTGCATGGCTGGGCTGCAGCTGCTGTGGGGCTCTGCAGGGAGCTCATCTCAGTTGTGGGAAGGAGTTTTGGAATGTGAGCCTAAACTCCATGTCTCTGGAAAAGGGAGAGGTTGTTAGCCTGTCCACGTCCAGGGAAATGAGTGTTTTGCTCTGGTAGGGTTGGAAGGTGTTGGCATCATTCCCCACTCGCTGGCAGGGGAGAGGGGGATGGTTTCTTCAGGAAATGCAGGAGGGGTGGTGTGGGTTAGGGAGGAACAGCCCCCTGCACCAGGACAGGCAGGGGGTTGACCTTATGGAAAGCAGCTCTGAGAAGGCCCTGGGAGTCCTGGGGGACAGCAATGTGCCTTCATGGCCAAGGCCAGTGGTCTCCTGGGGTGCATGAAGAAGAATGTGGCCAGAAGGTCGAGCCAGGTTCTTCTCCCTCCCTGCTCTGCCCTGGTGAGGCCACCTCTGGAGTGCTGGGTCCAGTGCTGGGCTCCCCAGTTCAAGAGAGACAAGGAGCTACTGAAAAGAGTCCAGCAGAGGCTACAGAGATGCTGAGGGGCTGGAGCATCTCTGTGCCAGGACAGGCTGAGAGCCCTGGGGCTGCTGAGCTGGAGAAGACCCAGAGGGGATCTGATCCACAGATGAAGGGCAGGGTCAAGAGGCTGGGGCCAGACTCTGTCAGTGGTACCC